GTATGCCTCTTGTACTATGAATAACCACTACGAAGACAATATGCAATGTATTAATTATTGAAACTGTCCTGCTAATTGGTTTTGAAACTGTCTCATTGCTATTTGTTTCTCAATGAAATTAACTAACAAAAATGAAGTCATCCTAACTCAGTAGGGCACTGACCCCAAGGGCATCCCTGAGGAAATGGGGCTTTGATGGTACCTCTGAAGGGGTCTCCTAATTCCCCTGTAGGTAATGGTACCTCAGATTGAGACTGCCTGGGAGGGAAGGGCTGGGCTGGGCATCAACAAGCCAGGGATGTTGCCTCGGTGACCTCAGAGAAAGTATCTTGCCCCCATGTTGGGCCGTAGTCTCCTCATCTGTAGTGATCCAGATAAACGAGAGCACCTGGGATCCTATTCAGAGATAAGCATCTCTGGAGCTGGCCCCGTGTTTTGCAAATGCACCTTCCCTCCAGGATTTGTCTTGAATTCTCCCTCCCCTCCTCTTCAGCGATCAGCAAGTCCTGTTAATGCCAGTTTCCAAGCTGGTCACAAATCCATGGCCATAGCCACGGTTATCATGATGGCTTCTATTGATGCGATTTCTCCTGGAGAGCTGTGGGAGCCTCTGTCTGTTCCCCCTTTGTCTGCTTCTACTTTGGATTCTTTCCCCTAATCCTTTTTCCTCACAGCTCCCCAGAGTGGTCATTTAGTATGCAATTCAACTCTTCTGTTGCTTAAGACCCCCCAATGGCTTTCCATTTCATTTAGCCTAAACCCCACGCCTACACATGAGTGAGCTGGCTTTTGCCTACTTGTTCTGTATTACCTCAAGGAGCACTGCTCTCCTTTGTTACTAAAATCCAGACATACACATCGTTTCTCTAGCCTGTAAGAGCACGAGGCTCTTGTCTACCTGGGACTTCACGCAGAGCTGTGTGTGTCTCTCGGTCATACAAGCCTGGTGCTCTCTTACCCATTAGGTCCGCAGAGAAGCCTTCTCAAAAGTTTCTAAGTAATTATTCTTTCATTCCACTTCCTTTTCCATCCATTGCAATAGTCGTTTCATTTTTTTTTTTTTTTTGGCAGCATATCAAAATGTTCCTAGCCCCTTGAAGCAAAGGTTCCTTCCCACCACCCTGCAGCCTGAGCACAGCTTCATATCCTCCGCACCTAAACCATACCTGGCAGGTCACAGGCAGTTGGCAATATGTTGAGCAAATGAATGATGAATGGTTTGGGCCACAAATAAGGAAGAACGAAAGGAAACGGGAAAAGAAAGGTAAATTTTGTCTGTAGCAATTTTTGTTTCTCTTTTATTTTTCAAAATATTCCTTTTCATGGAAAATATATACAAAATATCTATTAAGTGTAGGTCTTTGCACTGAAAGGCCTACAAGGTCCATGCAGGGATGGTGTTCTACTCTTGCCCCCATCTAAACAACATGCAGCCTGTGATCACAGCTAAGCTGGTTTTTAACTTTTAGTGTTAAAAAGTGGGCTTCAAAAATCCATTTATGAAAGAAACATTTTAAAGAAAGGGAGGGGACTCATTAGGCATTTTAGTAGCACTTGGCGGCCTACATTACTGAATGTGCTAATGACAGATTAGTGTTAAGGATTTGTGGAGCTAGCACAGGAAAGATTAACTTCAGGTACTGTGGCCAAGTTTGCAAGTCAATTCCTAAGTACATTTCCAACCCTTTTACTCTAGAGGATGGAAAGCCTTGCCTGCCTATGTTTCCTTCAGGCATAAGTTATTGTGGACCACCATTCTGATCAGTGAGGGGGAAGCAGACGTTTGTTTGGGGTGGAGAGAATTTTGTTATGCTTTTGTTTTCTTCATCCAGAGACAGATATGGCTGGAAAGACTTCCTCCCCCTCTGCTTAAAAGTGGGTACAATGTCTGGGAGCTCGCCTCCTTGGGAACAAAAAAGGCCAGGAGAATCACAGAACAGCCTACACTGATTTCCCAAAACCACAAGCCACTACCTGCTACCATGTTTTCCAGGACGCACCCTGTAATCTGAGGTAACCCTCAGTGTGTGGTGAGGGTTTTGCTGTTGCTCCTGTTACTTGTGAACAACTGTATTTGACCACATTTTGCTGGCTTTGGGTTACTGGAAGTGAACAGTAACTCGGAAGACATTAGAATGAGCTAAAGCTGTTGGTGTATGAGTGCAGATATATGCAGTTGAGGTAGAGTTTAGCTCTCTGAGTCCTAAGTTAGTGAGGACTTATGGCACATTTATTATATTTATTTATTTAGTACCGGGGATTGAACTCAGGACCTTGTGCTTGCCAGGCAGGCACTTATGCCGCTCAGCTACCTCCCCAGCCCTGTGATATTTAAATAAGCGCTGAGGGCCAAGAACTGAAGCATGCAGGACGCGAGCAGCACAGGCCCTAAAAGAGAGCGCACAAGGACAGGGCCAGCAGCAACGGTGCTCTCCACTGGCGTTCGTCATTCTCTGCATGGCCTCTGTCCCTCTGCTGTATAGTCCTTGTTCTTTTGTCTGGCCCACCATGCATTTTCAATGAACATTCTGATGACATTATATTTGAACTCTTAGAGGGGTTTCATACACCAACAGCTTTAGCTCATTCTAATGTCTTCCGAGTTACTGTTCACTTCCAGTAACCCATAGGCTTTTAAACTTGGAATGACCAGGACAAGCTTGATAAGGAAGTCTATCTACAGTGGGTAAGATTCCTTTTATTAGTAGTTCACACTGGGCCTATCAGACTCTTTTCATCCACAGTCACAAACCCTTCCTCCTACTTCCTACGGGGAGGAACTCCAGGAATCCAGGTATCGCTGGCCTCTGGAGTCAACCACTAGTTATTTCCACTTTGTCTCTGGACTACGTCAGAAGAGGGCGCTAGGCTTTCTGGTCACTGAGTAGTGTTCCCTCTCTACTATTTATTCAAAGTCCTATACACAAAGCCATTCCAAAGTAAAAAAAAAAAAAAAAATGCCACCCATTTGATAGGTTTCCTATGTGGGGGCTGGGTCCTACGGAGCAGGTTCTTCACCTATCACCATCTTTTAAATCTCACCACAAGACTTGAGACAATTATTTTCATTTTGCCAAGCAAAGAATGGAAGTCTAGAAGGAGACTGTCACGCAGAGCTGCGCAGGAGGGTGGGAGATACGTGCTGTTGGTTCTCTTCTACAGCTTGCTGTGCTTTGGAGATAAGTGAGGGGCGCTTTCAGAAGTCCAGGGCACAATTTGAGATTCGTCTTTAGGCAGTGGTTCAACACCTCCAAAGCCAACTGAGTGACACAGCAGTGAGGTGAAGAGGTGGCAGCGGCTGTGACCTGGTGAGGGCGTGGGCCAGCTTGCATGCCTGTCAGTGGACTTGGGACACTCACCACTTAATGCAGATGGATTATACAGAAACATGCCTGATAGAGACACAGGGTGTGAAGCACGAGTTGAGGCCTCTGCAGGGCTGGTGGGGAGGATAAAAATGTACCCGGAGGTCAGACGACGGGAAATCTGTTAAGAGGTAGGGGCCTACTCCAGAAGGAAATAACCAGAAAAGAAGAGATGACATATGCTGGTTTTGATGGCCCTGTGCTATTCTGACTAGATAGGAGTTGTTTTTCCCACTGTTTATCCACTGGCCTGGTTTATTTTTAAGTAAGCCCTTCCCCTGCTTGGTTCTTTCTACTCTTCACCATGTGTTTGCCAGTGTTGGCCACGCACCCAGTCTCACACCTCCTCTCCCACGTTCCCCTTCACCCCACCCAGACTGCCTTCTTATTTAAAGAAAAACAAGATTATAATGTTGAACACTGAGACTTTCCAAATTGTACAGCATGCAAAGTAAGTCTCAGAGGAAGCTTGTTAGGAAGGTTTTACTCCATCGCTGCCTAGAAATATGGGTCCCCATCGGCAGTCAAATGCGAAATGATGACAGGGTCAGTGTACCTCCAGTAAACTTCCTTGAGGCCTGGTATTTATACACTTACACCCCAGATTTATCCATGGAGGTCCCATTCTAAGATATACTTCTCTGCCTGCTTTTGAAATTAGGTAATCTGTGAAGGAATGCCTCTGGGAAAGGGAGCTCAGAGATACCAGGTAACTGTGAAGGTATGTACAGTCAATGGTTATTATCAGTTAAATTAAACTAGTTCAGGTTGAACATTCTAAAGTGAGGTCAAAGAAATTACACATACATACAGGAGGTCAGTAAGTGTGAGAGTTGGTCTAGATTATTGATTTTCAAATTTCTCTTTCCACTTTCTCTTTTCTACTCTTCTTAGCTTCTGATCCACTTGTCTCAAAACAGATTGCATTCAGAAGTTCAACATGTGGAACACACAGACACGAAGTTGCTCTTGATCCAGGGAAGGGTCTAAAAATCCCACTGATTTGGCTGCCCTTGTACTGGCAGTGCAATACCTCAAGTCCCTCTCTCAGTTTCTTTGGGACCATAAGAAACACATTTATGTCACTGAAGGAATTAGAGTTTTTTCAAGGTCCTTTTCAAGGTAAGAACACTTTTTAAGATGAAGAAGCCAAAGTCTACCAGGGCAAGATGACTTCCCAAGCCACACACACCTTGTGTCACCTACTTAAAACCCACCACTTCTCTATTTACTACCATGCAACCTCATGAGACAGTCAGCATTTCTGTGGTTCCTCATTCATAAAATCAGATAGGAGGTGAATGCTGCCTCCTGCTTCTGTGGACATTTGTGGAAACAATGCATGCACAGGAATCATAGCCTTGCTTGGCACGCTGTGGGTCCTCATTAAGTATCAGTTGTGTCACACTGCTTTCCCTTATTTCTCTTCACTTCAGCACAACTCTGCCTATTAGTCTTGAAGGAACACCTTAATCCTCTAGCATTCATTAGCATCGATGCATCAGGGTGACCACAGCATGCAAGGGGAAATTAACTCTAAGGAGTAGTTGGAATAATCAGTCCTATCTCTTCAATTCCCAGTTTTTGCCCCACAGAAATGCATTGAAAAATAGATTGAGAAAAGAGCTGACTGACCTGGGAGAAATGTCACATCCTTGCTGCATGAAAGCTCCCAGGGAGAACCACAGACTGTTGAATATCCCAAACTCATTTGACTGGTCAGTGCTGGTTGTCTGGTCTCGTCCTTCCTCAAACTCTTCACTGTGCCACTCATAGGGGCTGAAGCGGCTGACCAGGAAGAGGACGACGCTCACTCCAATGTAGGCAAAGACTATGCACATCCAAATCTCGTAAGCCAAAGGGTCGAGGAAGGAGAACACTCCTGGCTTGGACTTTTGTGGCTTTTTTATCATGATGGAGATACCCAAACTCATAAATGGCTTGGAGAAGTCTATAACCTCTTCCCGAACCAATGTAATAGTTAAGGGGGCCACGGCCACGTCTGCTCTCTGCAAAAATAAAATAAAAATCAGTTGAGCTCAACATCTTTCTCTTTTTTTCTTTCCCTTTCTTCATTGTGAATACTCTTTTGTGTCTTAAAGAATGTGGAAGTGGGAAAGAACTTCAGAAGTCGAATACCCCAGTACTAGAACATGGTCCTGGCAAGTGGGTGATCGGCTCAGCGTATTGCAGGAGAGATCATCTCATTACTTGACAGTCTGCCTTGCTAGAGGCCTGCTATTTCTGTAAGAAGGAGGCTGCTGTGATATCTGTTATTTTGCCTGCCCAGAAGCTCTGCTACCTTCATGTGGTGGGAGAGAGACCACTCCTTCCTGCTCAGCCCTCCAGGTTGGAATGGGGCCAACCATCTTGGTTACACGGGCAGCACCTAACCTAGGTCTGGCTAATCAGCACACTCCACTCCCCTATTCTGCATTTACTCAAAGATGACAAAAGACCTAAGTGGGTTTACTGAGAATTATCTCTGAGAGCAGAGCTGAGGGACACAGAAGATGATCCTGATGCTGTAATTTAAGGTCACTCTAAATTCAGGGCTTACCCTGGGTGCCCTAGGAACATGTGTCAATAAATTCCTATGTTTGTCGCCAAGCACATGAGCTAACCCGTCTGTTTGCCTAAACCAGTTTGGATTGGGTTTCTTTTACTTCAAATGAAGATTATCCTGGTTAACAACATGGTAAAGGCAAATTTAACTCAATAAACATTTATTGAGTACTTACTGGTAAGTCCAGACTGAAAGACTAGATAGACTATGACACACTCAAGGAATTACAAACTACTGGGAGAGAGTAGCCCACATAACACACACAGACACTCACACACAAACTTCGTGATCTGTAAGGTAGATTGAATATATGTTTTCCAAGAGGGATAAAACGCTGCAGGAGACTGAGAGGGGTTCATTCTGCCTGAGGCGATCAGGACTGCATCAGAAAGGGGTGAAGTTTCAACATGGCATGGAAAGTGGTTGGGATTTGGACAGGTTACTCTGTCAAAAGTGCAGGGCGGCACTCCAGGAGGAAGGAGCCATGTGAACGAAGACCTGGCAGTGAGGAAGTAAAGTATATTTGTAAGTTTTGCCTCCAGGAAGACTGCTGAGAAATTCACCAATAATCCAGTTCTTAAATTTGAAATCCAGTATGTTGATGAACAGGAAAAGTTGGTAACAATGTTCATCCACGGGACTCCAGCAAGTGGAATCTGCAAGCCTCGCTCTTCTGGCTTCTGTCTTGCCTGCCTTTCTCTAATCACACAAGCACTGGCGTCTACTCAGTAAAAACCCACTTCTCTGCTGGCCTGAGATCAGGAGAATCTGGAAACCTTCTTGTTACAGCATCCATTTCTGGGAAGAGAGACAGGCCTGCGCATGTCTGTTTGGGCTGCCTGGCTTTCTCTTACAACGTAGCACAGCAGTCCAGGTGTGTGGTGGGGGGTGGCAAACACTGTGCAGAGGAGGCTCCTGCCACCCTACCAGGCCGGCTTGTCTCTGAGTGAGTTTCATCTGGTTGGGTGGGACGACCGAAGAACTGCCTGTGGTACCGAAGGCTGGCTCCAGAACGTCTCAAATTCTCACTTGTAGAAAGAAACTTTCTGTAAAACCATGTGGTGTCAGGTGTGAGTTTCATAGTAATTCTGTTATTTTTCCCTGTCACCCTACATAATCCTTGATAATTTCTACAAACACTTTCTAGCCAGTACAAGGGAAAAGATTTCTACTCCTTTCTATAAATCGACACAGAAAAGGAACATGAGAGAAAAGTAATGCAAATGACTTAAAAGGGCCCATGCCAAGACCAGCTCTGAAAACAGTATTCAATAGATTTCTTTGATGTTTTCTGACATGGTCCAATAAAAAGGATCATAGACTCCAAAATTATGGAATAATATGATCCGAAGGCTTTGTTCATTTAGTGGTCCAAAGTTTGGTTCCATGGAACATTATTTCTGGAATGATGCTAATAAGTATAACATAAAAATGAACATGTTTAGGAAACAGATTTCACTAAGTTACTTTGAGGCAGGACTTACAATCTTAAAGACCACTGTATGTTGAGTATTTTATCATTATTTTTATGTTTGGCATAGGGTCTCACTCTACAGATCAGACTCTTAGCAATCCTCCTGTTTTCAGCCTCCCCAGTGCTGAGATTACAGGCACATGCCACCAAGATCTGCCTCAGTCACCAGCTCAGCATGCCCAGGGGTGGGGCTGGCTTGGCACGTGGTGCCAGGGATCGAACCCTAGCCCCTATGCTTGCCTAAGCAGGCCCTTAACCTGCTGAGCTATCTCACCAGCCCTTTGAGTATTTTATTTTTTTATTTTTTGCAGAAAATTGAATTCAGGCCCTTGCGCTTGCCAGGGAAGCGCTTATTCCACTGAGCCATTTTCCCGGCCCCTTTGAGTATTTTAAAGAAGGGTGGGTAGAAGGCAGTATTGCCAAGAAGAGTAAGTAGGAGGCAGCACTGCCAAAGATAATTTTCTATGGGCTATTCATTACCCTAAGCATCCAAAGAGACCTAAATATGTAGGATACACACATGAAAGGCCGCTTTACAGGTAATGAGCCCAGGTCCAGGCAGGGAAGAGGGTCTGCACTGAGCAGTACAGTTTTGGTTTGTTTGACACTGAGGGAGAGGCCCCAGGAGTTGATTTCCACCATGTGAGACAGTTCCTGCTGCTGCACAGCCCTGGTCAAGGGCACAGCAGAGGGAAGACTGAGCTTCTCTTCTTCCTAACTCCATGGTTCCTGTGTAGCTTCAAGTGAAAGAGCTTGGAGTTTAGGAGATCAGTTTCCTTCCTATAGGGAGTTGACTTTCAGAGGAGCTCAGTGGCTCACAAGCATCGCAGTCAGAGAGCTGTGGAGTTGGAACTCAAATCCGGGGATCTGTCTGCAAAGCTCACTTTCTTCCTGCTTCATCAAGGCAAGACAGAAAGAATTACAGGTGGAAAAGAGACACAAAGACGCGGCCGCGCAAGAAGCAGACACCTCACTGGTGATCCGTGACCTGCATCTCCCTGCTGAGAGCGCCGCTGGCCGCTCTCACTGTACTTTGGCTTTACACTTCAGTGTCTGGATGGCATGAGGCAGAGCGAGGCAGGGCAGAGCGAGGCAGAGAGGGTAGCTTGCTGTGGCTTCTAGTGGCAGCTGTGTGACTTTTGGCTAATTATTTGACTTCTCTGGGCCTCAGTGTCCTCAATCTATAAAATGTGGGAAATAATCTCATCTAACTTGGGCTTCTGACATGAAGAATCAGCTAAAGGATGTAAGCGCAGTGTGTGGCCTGGCATTGGACATGCACTGTGTGAAGAGACGTCACTGTTAGCGCTGTTGACAAGAGGAACAGGGAGCAAAAGGAAGATAAGGAGAAGCCGACTGGCAGCTACAGAGATGGCACAATTAGGGGCTTCCTGCGACTTTGCTGACCACACTAGTGGTTTGAGGCTCAGAGCGTCTCCCTTACCTTCTTTGTTTTCTTTGAGGGAAAATAGAAAAATAAAGGGAAATAATCTAGAGAAAAGTAAAGGGAGAACAGCCAACTGGGCCCATCATGGAGTCTTCAAAAATATATTTTTAGACATTATATAATTTAATACAGAAATGTTTAAAAGATGCAGCTGTGACTTTTAGCATGAGCCTTCAGAATAGCTCCTACATTAAAAAAAAAAAAAAAGAAAATAATTTTTACTGGACAGAGGGGCAGGGCTGTGAAAAGGGAGACAGGAAGGGTCCTGACAGCTGAGGCCCACAGGGGAACATCCATGAGGAGCCAGTGAATCGCCACGCCGCCAGGACCGTCATGCCACCATGCCACCCAGATCAGAGGCTTTTCACTAAGGACTGCATTCCATGAGGTGAAGGTGAAGATGAATGCCGGTGAAGGTGAAAAGTTCCCAGCAGTTGCCATGGGGACGACCTTAAGAGCATAGTGGAAGTTCCCATGGAAACCAGCCTCCAGGTGCAGCGTGACCCATGCAGGTCTCCATCTTTCATCCACAGAGCTTCCAAAGTGAGAGGCAGGGTGGAGTGAAGAAGGGTGAGAAGCACATCCAGCTCCTCAGCACATTAGCTGCTCTCACAGGCCACCTCAAAGGCCTCCTCCCTGAGGAACAGTTGCTCTACTCCATCTTTTTCTTCTTTGAATTCTCTTTGTGTCACACCTATAGCTACTGTGCCTCCTCTTGCCCTGACGTGAGACAATGAGACTTGGAGTCCTCCTAAGTGATTGTTTCCTCCTGCCCAGCACTTGACATTCACCTTGGGCTCCACATGGGCTGTAGCTCAAAGGCCAGCTGGGAGTTTTCAGTGTCTGTGAGTGAAGCCGGCTGCTTTCCTGCACGTGCAGCAGGAGTCCTCCATTACCTTTTGCTATTCTTTTCCTCAAGCACCATCCTAATCTCTCTGCCTCCAGTCTCCCTGATCTTGTCTACCTTCTTTCCCTTGTCATTTCCTAATTCATCTTGTCCCTGACTGCTCTGTAAGCCATGCCCAGGTGTTCTCACTCTGCTCTCATACCTGATATCTACCTCTATTCTTTTTACAACTGTACTCAAGAAATTCCTGGACTGCTCTTCTCTCTTGCTATTTCAGTGTGGCTTCTAAGTTTCATGCCTTTTCCTGAGAGCTAGAAAAACCCATGTTAGCTCTTGTGTGAACCATGCAACTCGGCCTCTGTGGTTCTGTGTTTCTTTGCTCTCTTGCTATCTTTTCTACCCCAATAAAATGTGCAGGTCCTTGAGGGTTGTTCACTTTTCCTTAACTCCTTAAAGTGGAAAACAGTGTCAGGTACTCAGTGGTGTCTCAATGCTGCCTCTGCTTATTGAAGTCTTCATAGCAGTTGTGCATAGAGTAACTTCTAGTGTTACGAGTAAGACAAAATCAGAGCAGACCCATCGCTATTGCGCAGTTGGCCAAGACACAAGGCAGAGGGAGCCACAGAAAACTAGGTTCTCTGGCAGAAAGCGAGGCTGGTACAGTGGAAATGTCAAATTTGATTTGAAGAGGCAAAAGATAACTAGGCAAAAGTAACAATTTCTTCAAGGCTGGGTAGAAGAATTTAGAGGTGAGAATAGTGGAGAGTACTCTAAAGAAGAGAGCAAATGAGGAGCAGCTTGGTTGAGCTGGAAATTGCAGAAGAGGAAATAGAGGAGCAAGTGACTAGAAGGAAATTTGGGCCCAAGGGAGTCTCGTGTAACTCTGAGGGCAGTGAGAACTTAGACATCTGCCTTGTGAAAATTGATCTTGGAACTACACGGTCAAGTGGGTTGGGCAATGATCAATGGAAGGGCCAAGATGCTGAGTGAGGTTGAAGGCACTGAAACCTGAACAGAGGATGTCTTAAGACAGTGGGCTGTGGATGACTTGTTGGCTCAGCAAAAGAGATGCTCAGTTACGGGGTCACATAGGCGTAGAGGTACATGCAGCCACCAAACACTTTCCTTTCACTCTCTAGTTTTGTCCTCTGTCTCTGCCCCAGGAGGAACTTACTCCATACACCAGCTCTCCCACCATGCCATTCCAGGCCTTTGTGTCAGGATCCCGGGCTCCATATTTCCCATCACTGACAATCTCCAGGCGGTAGGAGTAGCCCACATGCTTGGCGATTTCTGCTGCCAGCTCCACACAGTAGCCCTCGTAGCGGTCATTTCCCTCAAACTGGTTGGCATTCTTCTTGAGCATCACGTAAGGATCTTCCTGGTAGAGAAATGGGGAGACAGACAATGTGGTCGGTCAGATGCTTACCCATGGGCAGGGAAGTTTGACATGACAGAGGAGGACACGGCCAACATTGCTTAACATTGGGGAAGTCTCCAAACATATGTCTGCATTTCTATCCCTCATTAGAAGTTTCTTAGATTAAGGGAGGAAAATTTGCCCAGATAACCATGTTTTAACATTGAGATGGTATGCAGCCTTTCAAATCATGTTTTTTTTTTTTTTTT